CGGTTAGTTGTGCCTCGGCTGGTTTGCGTGAAAGAGCATCTGCCGCACTATTTTCCTTGTCAGGATGGTACACGATGTCAAAATTGTATCCTAAGAGTTTAAACAACCACTTCTGGTGTTCTTTGGTAACCGTAACTGTGCACTGTTCGAGAAGGTATTTAAGGCTGCGTTGGTCCGTTTTCACTAAAAATTTGCGACCCAGTAAGTACGGTCTCCATTTTTGAATTGCCATTACAATCGCCATCAACTCCCTCTCATAAACCATTTTCAGTTGTGCGCGGGTTCCCAAAACATAGCTGAAAAATGCTAACGCGGAATAAATACTCAGGCGCTTGTGAACCTTCGGGTTTCAAAATCGTTCAAATATTCAAAAAAAGAAGTTGCGGTTTAACGACTTCTCTCTTTCACGGAGACAACGAGGGTTCAAGTCCCTCTGGGGGTAAATCATACCCATAAGAATTGACTCTCTAGTTTATGGCCGCTTCTCTATGGTACCAGTTGTTGCTTCATTGAATTTGCTTCACTAATAGGCTCACATTACTTCGGTGCTTCTTAATCCTTTCAAAATGGTCACCGTTTTACCCACGCCAGCTCCCCCGAATAGTCCGATTTTTCCTCCACGGCGATAAGGGGAAGTTAATGCCAGATAAAAAGGATTTCGGTTATAGTTTTCCGTGCGATGGCCCATCTTTTTAGGAGGCCTCAATGACCATAGATCGAACCTATCCAATTTTTACAGTGCCACAATCCGTTCGACGTACAACAATGTCGCCCCTCCTGCATTAACACAGCACCCAACCCAAAACCCGATGCATCCGTTTCGACAACGAATTCTTTGTCAAAATCGGGTAAAGCCAACATAGGCACTTGGGTCATAGCGGACTGGAGTTGATGGAATGCCTTTGTCGCTTCATCATTCCAATGAAAGTTATCTTTTTTTAGTTGATCGGTGAGAGGCCATGCAATCTTGCCATAATTTTTTACGAACTTGCTATAATATCCCGTCAAGCCGAGAAACCCACGAAGTTCCCGAAGCGTTTTTGGTACGGGCCATTGCAGCATTGCTTCGATTTTAGACGGGTCTGCCGAAACCCCCTCTTTGGACACGATGTGTCCTAAATACTCCACCTGTTGTTGCCAAAAAGTGCATTTTTTCCGGTTTGCGTATAACTGGTTTTCTTGTAGTACACACAAGGCTGTTTCGAGATGTTCTAGATGCTCATTTTCGGTTTTGCTATATATCAGAATGTCATCAAAAAACACTAGTATAAAGCGTCTTAAAAAAGGTCCGAACACCTTATTCATCAAAGACTGGAAAGTGGCCGGTGCGTTGGTTAACCCGAAGGGCATAACCCGGAATTCATAATGGCCCTCATGTGTTCGGAAGGCTGTTTTAGGAATGTCGCTAGTTTTCATTCTAATTTGGTGGTACCCGGTTCTCAGATCGAGTTTAGAAAATACGGTAGCTCCGTGTAGTTCATCTAAAAGTTCGTCAATTACTGGTATGGGAAACTTATCGAGAATCGTGGCTTTGTTGAGGACCCGATAGTCCACACAAAATCTCCAACTCCCGTCTTTCTTTTTGACCAGGAGAACGGGACTTGAGAATGGGCTGGTACTTGGTTGAATCACACCCGCATCCAGCATTTCTCTCACCAATCTTTCTATTTCATCCTTCTGGATATGCGGATAGCGGTAAGGTCGGACGCTAATCGGAGCGGTATCGGCCGAAGAGTTATAGCGTGCTCATGACTGCGGGGTGGGGTTAACCCTTTTGGCAACTCAAAAATATCACCAAATGCCTTGAGTAAGGACTCAACAGGCGTGGGTATTGGAGGGAGTGAAGTTGTTTTATTTTCTTGAACGTTCAAATGTAACAAAAAACTTGTTACCTCTTGTTGTAGCAGCTTGTGAAGAGTTTTGCATGACGCCTCTGATCTTGACAAGCTGGGGTCACCTAATATATTAACTTGCCTTTCTCCATCCCAAAACTGCATCCTAAGCTCCCGCCAGTTAACTGTCATGTCGCCCAGTTTCTGTAACCACGCGATTCCCAGAATTAAATCGGAACCACCAAGGTCAAGTGGAAAGAAATCCTCCACTATCTGCAGCTCTGGTAAGTTCAGAACCACCTTGTGACACATTCCTCGACTTCGGTCCACCATACCATTCCACAGTCGTACCTTAACCGAACCTGTTTGTGAGATTTCCATACCTAGCCTTGCCACTATGTGATTGGAGATGAAGTTGTGAATGGCCCCACTATCGATCAACACTGTCACCTGTGTTCCTCCGATATCCCCATTCACTTTCATGGTGTGTGGCGGGGTTAAGCCGCTAACCGAATTAAGTGACACCTCCACAGAATCCAAGTGAGCATGACCATCTCCCTCCTCCTCGGATTCACTATGAGTATCCTCCTCGTCAACGATCAATACCTGCAAAGTTTAGCTCGGGCATCGATGTCCCGGTGCAAATTTCCCGTCACACCTAAAACAAAGACCCTTAGCACGCTTATCCGCAAACTCCGCCTCTGTTAGCCTTTTAAATTGCCCAGTGTTAATCGTGGTACCCTCCTTGCCGGTTGTCACTACCGGTGTTACCGTGTTGCTTGCTTTGAATTGGTTGAAGCCTCCGGTACGTGCCTTAGGGGTCACATTACCCTTATTCTCATCGATAATCACAGCCGCCCTCATTGCCCTGGCGAGGCTCTCGGGTTCCATCACTCTCACCGCCGATCTCAAGTCCGGCTTCAATCCCTTGATAAACGTACCCTCTAATACTTGCTCTGGAAGATCAAGTATCTGGCCGGCTAGCTTCTCGAACTCGCTCACATAGTCACGAGCCGTCCCCACCTGATGAATAGCAAGAAACTGCTCGTAAAGACTTCCTTCATAAGATGGCTGAAAACGAACCAGAAGCTTTTGTTTTAGCTTTTCCATGAACGACAAGGTGACCTTGCTTCCACCCAACGGTACCATGCGAGTGCTGGCCCGTCCATGCACAGGGCAGCCGCTCTCAACCGGTCCTTCCCTTCGATCCCTTGCACCTCAAAGTATCGTTCAATACGATAAATCCACCCATACGCATCGTTACCCTCAAAGATCGGCTTCTTGATCTTGCAACAATCACGCAATGGGTCCCTGTTTTTCACCCCCGAATTGTTCTTCTTTGACCCCACCGACTCATCGTCATCAACCGAAGAGTCTGAATCACTCATCGGTTCCTTCTTCTTGTTGTTCTTCCTTCTTGGGTCTCCGTTCAAATCACTGATTGCTTTCAAAATCTCCTGAAATTGCATAGCGATTTCGGTATGGTTGGCCTCTGCCTCCTCCCGCACCCTAGCCACTTCGGTCTCAAAAAGGCCGATCCGATCAGTGTTGTTGAGTTTTGAACCCATCTCGCAGACCCGAACTAGCGTCGTGAGCAGTAATGTGAATAGTGTAGCGTGAACAGTACCCAATAACGATATTGGTGTCAGAATCGTCGCTCTGATACCAATTGATACGAACCGAATCCAACCCTGGGGTTAGGACCCGAGAAATGCCTGAATTCGAGAACAGGTAATCTCCACAAAAGTCAAAGACTCTCTTAATTGATTGAATGAATGTACAAGAAACAATGGAGCACCATATTTATAGAGTTCCGCTAACAAGGAAACCTAAACCAAAAAGGAAACCTCTAAAAAAGAAGAAATTATTATGCCCATAAAAGAAATAACCGAAATGCTTAAATTAGGAGATTATCTTCCATTCTTAACCTTATTGCCTTAATTGTCTTCTCTGGTAAACTTGACCATATCGTCCAGGTATATCAATGGGATATCCACCACACCTCCCAGGGCCTCAATCACTATGACACAACCCTTGTGGTTTTCTCATTGGTTTTGGGGATGCAGTTCTGGTTGCTAATAGTATGGTAAACTATATGTCATGTATTTCTTAAAAAGGAAAATACCTTAAATATCTTGTTTATTACAATTTATATGTTTCATTAAATCTTTAGTCATATATGTTATGTAGATGATTTTGATTCTGGTTTGGCCAAATGTTGGGGCAAACTGTTGAATATGTGTTCTCTATTCTATGTTTCAAAAGCGCTATTGGTGTTACAATTCCGATTTAGAATATTTTTTCTATCTACATTGATGTTGTTTTCTTAGATTATGGCTTTTTTTCCTATTCAGCCTCCTAGTCATGATGACCATGGCCTTGAGTATCCAGAGTGAATGGTTGAGGTTATTTCTGCTTATTTTGACCTTCCTACTGTGGTGATTCAATCTACTTGTTTCTTAAGGTATACTGCAGGAGGTAAATACACATCAGTACAGTCCTTGACACCACTTACCTGCTTCTGGCTCTAGTGAGATTCTAGTTTTTCATTTAGATATTCCAACCTCCGGTTTATCTCCTATTGATCTTTCTTTGTCTGAACCTACCCCACCCTTAATATACCTGTTCTTCAATTTAAGGAAAAATGCAGATATGCTGGTAAACCTATTTATGGACTTTGCCATTTCGCTTCACATCATTGAATATCAATATAATAGAATCTTCTATAGCAGCATTGCAGATCATATCAAAAACTTAAAAGGGTAAATAGTAGCCAAATTCAGCTGTTACACTGAATGTGCGTTTTATTAGCTGTGGTTGCTAGAAATCACTGAATGTGATAAGTCATTTCTGTTGCTTTACACTTGATGAGATGAAGTAGGGTCTTGGTGAAGATCTTCAGAATACATATAAGTAAACACTTAAGTAGCTTTCGTCAAGGAAAATACAATAATATAATATGTATGAATATACAACTATTGTTCATGTTCAGATAGAGAATTTGGTTTTTCTTTATGTTTTTTCTCATAAGACCTTTATACAACACACACAATTTTGCTTAGGATATAAAAGCTGTTGTCTTACTTGGAAGTAAAATGTCACACAGCTGTGTACCTTTTCATTTCATGGACTAACATTTTATTTTGATTGGCTTTTTCTATTGTCTAGCCGATCTTTCAAAGGTATCCACGGCCTGAGAAGGAGTATCAATCATTCTCACTAATATATAATGACAGGTCTTTGGATTTGGTAAGAGTTTCATCCACTTTTTTGGGGCAATTGATTTTTGACATGATTGTACTATTATCTGCCAAATAGGAAGAGGTTTTGGTGATTCTACTGATCTTCTTGTATTTGGTGGCTTAATTGTTCACTTTTCTAGATCTGCAAGGATAAGGATGAAGCCGATGTATGGTTTAGTGGTCTTAAGGCACTAATATCACGAGGCAATCAGAGAAAATGGAGAACAGAATCAAGGAGTGATGGAATCCCATCCGAAGCTAATAGTCCCAGGACCTATACACGCAGAAGCTCGCCATTACACTCTCCATTTGGTAGTGGTGATAGCTCACAGAAGGTACAGCATCTCTGATTAACTTGATGTACATAAAGAGACACATCTAAATGTTCACACACTTGTGTGTGTCCCATCATATGTATTGCTGTGTGTACATTTCCATGTAGATGTCTATGTATCTCATAATTACTTTCAAATAAATAGGTAAATACCATGTTATATTTGTCTATTCAGGACACAGGTGATCAGCTGCCCCTTCATAGTCCATATGGAAGCCCTCCAAAAAATGCTCCAGACAAGACATTTTCAGAAGTGAACTTCTATAAGGTTCCGCCCAAGGGTTTTTTCGCTTCAGATTCTGCCAGTGGTTCTGTCCATTCATTGTCATCTCGAGGCTCTGATAGCATCCATGGCCACACGAGGGTAATTGGGGTAGATGCCTTTAGAGTAAGCTTATCAAGTGCTGTTAGCTCTTCAAGTCAAGGTTCTGGTCATGATGATGGGGATACCTTGGGAGATGTTTTTCTTTGGGGGGAAATCACTGGAGATGGTGATGTTAGTGGTGGACCTCACAGAGTGGGGAGTTCAGTTGGTGTTAAGATGGATTCTTTATTGCCAAAAGCCTTAGAATCTGCAGTAGTTCTTGATGTTCAGAATATTGCTTGTGGTGGAAGGCATGCTGCATTAGTAACCAAGCAAGGCGAGATCTTCTCTTGGGGTGAGGAATCAGGGGGGAGACTCGGGCATGGCGTAGATTCAGATGTTTTGCACCCGAAGCTTATTGATGGCCTCAGCAATACAAACATTGAGCTTGTGGCATGTGGCGAGCATCATACATGTGCTGTAACACTCTCTGGTGATCTGTACACATGGGGTGATGGGCATTTTGGGATTCTTGGGCATGGGAATGAAGTAAGCCATTGGGTCCCAAAAAGAGTAAATGGCCCATTAGAGGGTATCCATGTTTCTTTCATCTCTTGTGGACCCTGGCATACTGCTGTGGTGACCTCTGCTGGGCAACTATTTACTTTTGGTGATGGAACATTTGGTGTTTTGGGCCATGGAGATCGGAAAAGTGTTTCAAAGCCTAGGGAAGTCGAATCTCTCAAGGGACTTCGAACTGTTAGATCTGCTTGTGGTGTCTGGCATACTGCTGCAGTTGTAGAAGTTATGGTTGGGAATTCAAGTTCTAGTAATTGTTCTTCAGGAAAACTATTTACATGGGGAGATGGCGATAAGGGTAGACTTGGGCATGGTGACAAGGAAACTAAGTTAGTACCTACTTGTGTTGCTGCACTTGTTGATCCCAACTTTTGTCAAGTTGCATGTGGACATAGCATGACAGTAGCACTTACAACTTCAGGTCATGTCTACACAATGGGGAGTCATGTTTATGGTCAACTTGGAAATCCTCAAGCTGACGGAAAACTCCCTGCTCGTGTTGAAGGCAAGCTCTCAAAGAGTTTTGTTGAGGAGATAGCTTGTGGTGCTTATCATGTTGCAGTTTTAACTTCAAGGACAGAAGTTTATACTTGGGGTAAGGGCGCTAATGGCCGACTTGGTCATGGAGACATAGATGATAGAAATTCTCCCACCCTAGTAGAAGCCTTAAAAGACAAGCAAGTTAAAAGTATAGCCTGTGGTACTAATTTTACTGCAGCTATATGCCTTCATAAGTGGGTCTCAGGGACTGATCAGTCTATGTGTTCTGGCTGCCACCTACCATTCAATTTCAAAAGAAAACGTCATAATTGTTATAATTGTGGACTTGTATTCTGTCATTCATGCAGTAGCAAGAAGTCATTAAGGGCCTCTATGGCTTTGAACCCAAACAAACCTTATCGCGTCTGTGATAACTGTGTTAATAAATTGAAGAAAGCTATTGACACTGATGCCTCATCACACTCTTCTGTGAGTAGAAGAGGAAGTGTGAATCAGGGTCTGAATGAGGTAAATGAGAAAGATGATAAGTTGGATCCGAGCTTTCGTCCTCGTCTTGCTAGGTTTTCATCAATGGAATCCTTGAAACCAGTTGAAAACCGTACTTCAAAGCGCAATAAGAAATTAGAGTTTAATAGCAGCCGTGTGTCACCTATACCTAATGGAAGCTCTCAATGGGGAGCTCTTAACATCTCTAAGTCTCTTAACCCAGTATTTGAATCTTCCAAAAAGTTCTTCTCTGCTTCAGTTCCTGGTTCACGAATTGTATCTCGAGCAACATCTCCAATATCGAGACGGCCAAGTCCTCCTCGTTCAACCACACCAATCCCAACCTTGGGTGGACTATCTTCACCAAAGATCATAATGGATGATGCTAAAAGGACAAATGATAGCATCAGCCAAGAAGTTGCAAATCTAAGAGCCCAGGTATATAATATGTTCTTGCATCACATTGGTATGCTATCTTATTGATTTGCATATGATCCTTTGTTTTATGACGAATTACAAGAAGCCATAGAAATGGGCATTTTAAGCATAAGGGAAGACAAAAAAATGTGTAAATAAATATGAGAAAGGAAAATACTTTTGGGATAGTATGACATATGAACCGAATCTTTGGCTTTACTGAAACGTTTATCTTGTGAAAGTATTTAGTCTGGTTCATGACACATTCTTCTTGATTTATATTCTTATTAACATCTTTGTTATCTGCACTTGGGATGGGTAGTTGACAGGTCAGAATCTGCTGCAAGTTTAACATCGTAAGTGCAGTTTATAATGACCAATGTATTCATAAATGTAATAACTGCTTCAATTAACTTTTGTCTATTTTCACAAGAAGCCATGTGTGGTTCAAGGTTTAAAGTGATACCCCCCTTTCCCATGATAAATGTTAATAATTTCCATTTGGAGGTGATGACCATTAACTGCAACATTTCCCTTTTTTTGGAAAGTTTTAAAGCTAAATTTACCTATTTTTCCATTCTCATGTTGCAAATGTTGATTGTATTGTTTTTGGTCCACAAGTATCGGCCTTTTTTTGTATTGAAGGGTATTTTAGTATTCCAGCTGATAGTCAAACCCTTTTATCAGACTATAGAGGCAGTAGTTATAGGTTTGCATGGGATGGAGGGTACTACTTTTGTGCATCTGATAGAAAACTAGTGTTTATTAGCAAAACTAATTAGCATTGCATGATGTTCATATAATTTTAGTTGATGACTTCATTGTGCATGCAAAGCAGTTGGTCGGCATAAAATACCTTCAGTACTTTAACTCAATATAATAAAATCACAAGTGTATCTGTAGTACAATGATCTGTTGTCACTAGACTTCCTTGAGGATATCTTTATTAATTGCAAAATGGTAATCTCAGGTAGAAAATCTTACTCGTAAAGCACAACTTCAAGAGATTGAGCTAGAAAGAACTTCTAAACAGCTGAAGGAGGCAATGGCTATCGCAGGGGAAGAGAGCTCAAAATGCAAAGCAGCAAAAGAAGTGATTAAATCACTTACTGCCCAAGTAAGATTAGTTTTAAGATAATTAAGTTTTTTATGGGTTGTGACACTGTTTTTCTGTCTAATTGATAAATTTAGACCGTTTTGTGATGCGCAATGTCAAAAATGAATTGCTTTTCACCTTTGAGCCCTTTCTACAAGTAGTAAACCCTGCATAATTATTTCCTCAAAGTGTCATCTATTTAAATTGTTTTTCTTTTTGCATGTGAAGACTATATTTTCTTCATCATGGAAAAATGCAACATTTGGTTTGACACATGGTTTAACTATAAAATGTTTGGACTATTGGTGGAATATAAAAAGAACATTCAATAAGGACAAAAAGAAGAGGAACTTCTGGACCAACTTCGAAGTTATCAATATCAAGTAATGATTATGGACAAAAAGCTATTTTGGATTGAGAACCTACTAGAACAGGAATTCTTCTATTTTCTTGGGACAACTCAAAGGAAATTGTTGCAACTCTTGTGGGATGGAGGGAACAACTTTTTTTTCCGTCTCCAATACTTAGGTTTTTTTTATTACACGTAGCTATTTTGCATTATAGGGTTCATCTCTTAGTCATAAACGGGTGTTAAATTATTCTTTAAAATATCTTGCTTTTGATTTTTCCAGCAAGGAATCACTAATCTTAGTGTTCATGTCAGTCTTATCACAAGGAGAACCATCTCTATAAGGCTGCAGTTTCCTTTACCTATTAGTCAGCTAAAGATGACATTGCTTTTTTTTTTCTTCTGTCTGTCATGCATGGCACTGTTATACCTGTTAACTTGTGATGTTACAAAATTATTTTTACTGGATCTCTGATTTGAGGGTCTTGGCTATTAAGCATGCCCTAGTTGCTACACTGGTCAGACCCGGCATAGGTTGTCCCTTCTGGATACACAACTAATTTCACTTATATTGTGGGAATGGTGAAGAATGCCAGATAAATTGTAAATGACTTGATGGATTCGGGATAGAAGAGGGGGCAGATGTGATTGGAGATGGTAAACATGAAAGCTGGTGTGAATTGGAGGATAGAAGTTTCTTCACGTATTCAATTTATTGAATTAGCCTTATTCCAGGAGATGGGGTTCAGGAGAACGAACATGCACTAGTATTTATATTGTAGAGCTTCTTGCCCTATCAAATATACTTATTTTAGATATTTTTTTTGATAGAAGTATTGTTCCAACTTCCAAACATAGATATGTATTCTAAAATAACTTACATTTTCTTGCTGATGATATCCTTATCCTCTATTTTTGTATCTAATAATAGCTGAAAGACATGGCGGAAAGGTTGCCTGTGGGAGCTGCCAGGAACATCAAATCTCCTTCCTTTACTTCCTTTGGATCCAATCTTTCTTCCAGTGACATTTTACCAAATGCTCTAATTGATCGGCCCAATGGTCAATTAGTACCATACGAAGAATCAGATTCCAATGGTTCAAACAGCCAGTTAAAATCCAATGCCATCACTAATCGAAGTTCAGGCCACAACAAAGCAGAAGCAGCGGCAAGAAACAGTAGCAGAAGCAAAGACGGTGAATCTCAGGGTGATGATGAATGGGTTGAGCAGGACGAGCCTGGCGTATATATTACCCTCACACCCTTACCTGGAGGCGCCAAAGATCTCAAACGAGTTCGCTTTAGGTATTGCTATTTTCAGCTGTCCATTTCCTATTACTTATTCTGTACAAAATGCTTTACACAAGAACACAATAAACATAAACAGACTTCAATAGGTATTAACTTGACCTAAATCGAACCAATTGATACTAACTAGGTCTAAATCAACACGTCTCCCTGTAAAATTTACAACTAAACCAGATATAAAGATGGCAACTGGGGTTGCAGTTTCCATTATTATATAATTTCAGGACTACAATGGATCTATGACAAGATCCATTATTTACGATGGGACCGTATACAAAATCCACATATTCCAATTAATACAATAGGATTTATGGCTACCCAAAATCTTAAGAACGGCCTAGATCTGGTCCAAGACAAACTAATGTACAAAATGCTTTATACAAGAACACAATTAACTTAAACAGACTTCAATAGGTATTAGATTGAACCAAATAGATCTAAATCAACCATAAAAGCGTACCAGTAATACTTACAAGTAAACCATATATAAAGATGACAACTGGGGTCAGTTGCGGTCCCAGGAATGAGTCGGGCACATTTAAAATCGTAAAATTGTGGTTGACGCCAGGGAGGGGGGGGAGTCAACATGATTCGACCCGGTAAAAAGCTAACTGTGTCAATTTGGGGAATATAATACATTTTTCCAAATGAAATCGACCTTGACCTTTTGAGCTAGATGCAAGACTATGTTTTATGTTCGACATGTTTTTTGCTGAATTCCATCACTACAAGGGACTTTTTGGTTTTTTTGTTGATTTCCTAAAATTTTCTAATTTCTAGGATTTGATTTGGTTGTCCTATCTTTCTTTTTCTAGATTTCCAATTTTGTCTTCATATGCATCTAGGACTTCTATTATTAAATATGATGTTTTACAATATAAAATCAACTAACCAAATTAAATCAACTCTAGGGTTTGAGCAAATAAAAAATGACTAAAAAGATTTAGTGCAACTCAGATTTAGTGCAAATCTAGAATTTAGGACAAATAAATAATGAAATAAAATCATTTTAGAGCAAGCCTGGAATTTAGGGCAAATAAGGCAAATTAATAATGAAATTGAAGCAATTTAGGACAAATAAATAAACTGTAATAGATAATATGCTTTGAAAATACAATTCAGATGAGAGGATGGATGACTCCTCATGGGTGGTGATTGAAGAATAGAAGTGGGAACAAAAACCTATTGTCTAGATAAGTTTTATTAAAAATTTGGTTTAGTCTCTTAAGTTTTAAAATATTTGAGAACACCTTCTATTTTTTAAAATTTCATAACATGAACCATTTAAAAGAAAAAAAATTCAAACATTTGCTACACGTTAAACTCGAACCTGCGCCTCTTAGAAGAGGAACCTTTATCTGGGTTGCAACAGCCAACTCGCCAACTTGGCATTCTTGTTATAACTTTGGTTTTCCTATATTTAAGGGCACACTCATAATTAAGCGGGTGCGCACTTGTCACGTCTCAATTTGTTTTCTTGTGATGATCTAGTGAGCGGGTGCACGGGAGCAGATCCCTAATAGGTCCGCCACTGATGGGGTGGTTGTTTCCTTTATTATATGATTTCAAGACCATGATGGATCTATGGCAAGATCTATTATTTACAATGGGATGGCATACAAAGTCCGAAGTTTCCAATTAATACAATAGGATTTATGGCTACACAAACTGTCCAGAGGCAAACTAATGTGGCGATGGAGTTTCTTAAAACCATTGAATTCGGGAAGAGTTCCCAAGTAGACCTAAATCAACACACTTACTGTGTTATCTTAATATACACACAATCTTTCAAAAGGAACCATGAAATTCTGCTCCTCTCTGTGGGGTAGAGGCTAGGTCCGTGTACACCCCTGGGCCCCACCTCTGGATGGGATATATTGGAATCGTTTAATTTGGTTTGGTATATTTAACATGGGCTGAATTGATTGAATGCAGCCGGAAGCGATTCAGTGAGAAGCAAGCAGAACAGTGGTGGGCAGAGAACCGAACAAGAGTTTATGAACAGTATAATGTGCGAATGATTGATAAGTCAAGCATAGGCATCGGAAATGAAGACTTAGCACATTGACATCTAGGAACAATCATATGTAAATGAATTTTCCTAATTCTCTCCTCTGCATAAAGAAATGGTGGTCATATTGATTGGCATCAAGAGGTTGCAATGGAAGCAAAGGTTTCTTAACACAAGCAACGGCATTACAGAGAGCTTTGTTTGTGCCTTCTCTTTTCTTTCTTCATATTTTGCATCAACTCGTTTTGCGCTTATATTTTCCCCCTTAATGCCTTGTTTCGAAGGGCTTGAGGACGAGGAAAATGGGGGTCATTAGATTTGGCTTGTCTTCAAAGCCGATATACCATGCATGTATATTCATAATCCAAGTACAACATAGTTTGCCTTATATGTATTCTCTTTCTAAATCCTTTTGGTTGAATGTAGTTTGTTAGCAGCATCAGATTCTGATTGATGTTTGCTACATTTGAAGCTAGCAAGCAGGTCAACTTTTAGACTTGTTCATACCCGTTTTGGTGTTTTATAGTGTACTGTAGAAAAGTTCCCTTTCTTTTCCTCCACCTTGCCCTGCCCCGCCCCGACCCGCCCCGCCCCACTGGTTTTCATCCATCGCCGCTGCTGCTGATCGTTTTAGGTGGATATGTCTTGACTTTCTTTTTAAGAATAAAGAATAAAACATAGAATTTTTCTATTGGTTGAAATTAATTTCTATAGTTTGCATGAAATAGGCGGTTTGCAATCTAATCCCATCTATATATATATATATATATATATATATATATATATATTTTGTGACTTTAATCTATGTAATTGTCATATAAAACATTACAGATAATTTAACTCATGTCTTGTTTTACCATGTGAAATTAAATTTCGAATTTGAGAGATTGTTTTTGGGTTTTTGCTTCTTTATAAATGATAGTTGCTCTTCTGTTTTTCTTTGTTATTGAGGTTTGGATTTTATTAGAATCACAATTTAAATCTTTTCCGGAAAAATCAATTTAAATCTTTTTTAAAGAAATAAAAAATAAAAATAAAAATAAAAAAAGAAAATCCTCATATAGACCTCAATAAAACTATAATATCAGAGCTAGTACAGGTTCATAGCAAAAATTGTATATATTGTTCGTTTCAACTATTTGATTTGATATTTACATAAATGCATCTAATGAAGACTTGGAAAACTTTTAGGGTCTTTATTTACAATCCAAAATATAAATTAATTTAGGGTCTTTATTTACAATCCAAAATATAAATTAAGGATAAGATTTTATCATATCCAAATTTGTATAAGGTTAGATTCAAAAAACACAAATATTCGAATATAAGGACCTTAAATACCTTATAAGATCCAAAATATATGGGATTCGAAAATATCAGGATCCAAAAGACATTAGGATCCGAAAACTCTTGAGGATTCAAAATAATCTTAGGATCTAAAATATTTAAAGATCCAAGTTTTGTCTTAGGATCCTACTCATAAAGGATTTGATCCATTGTAATATGGTTTTATTGGGATTTGAAATATATCCTATATTTCAGATAAAACATCATAATCAGATTTCAGTAGTAAAACTTTTATTTTTATATTCAGTATTGGTCCAAGCAAAATGCATTTAGCAAAATTGAAGACTAGTTGAAGTGAAGGAAGATCAATACCAAAGTGAAAGGGATTGTCATCTAGCCAATTGAAGACTAGTACCAGATAAGTCAGACAGTTTGACTAAACTATTTTAGCGAGCCGATCCCACCAACCCATGTGTTGTTATGGAACATGTTTAGCATGTCAGCCAATCTAAGTTCTAAAGTAATAGTACCTCCTTTACTTTTCACTCTACGTACTAATAGGACGGATTGGAGCAACATACATACAATCATATCTTTAAGATATCTAAAGGTTAAAATGAAGAGTACAAACATGCATTGATCAACAAATCAGATGTAGATAGACGTTAAAGTTGGCACACAACATTTAACGCGATGGTGGCTATAAAAGGCGAACCTTATCGATGTTGCAAATCACCTTTTTAACAAAAACATTGAGTTTTAATTTCTTAGGCAAATCAGCGTCAATATTTGAATACTCTTAGTTCTTCAGATCTAAAACAATATCTTCTACTATTTTTTCAGTATGTCCATCTAAGCAAATTTGTCCTTAATCAAATTATTCAGGATAAGAATTTTCTTCCTAGTTTGTGGAAAAAAAATGCAATACTTTGTTTCTATAAAACATACATAATTAAAAAAAAATGAACATTTGATGTGTTCGCATCTAACCTCCTCCTTTTATAATTTGTGTGTTAGTCATCATCCAACTAGGACCAACAAGTGGTATCAGAACTGTTTGTTTAATTTCATTAACAAGATCTGTAACGACTTCCATAAACAATGACAATGACACCCTATTCAAACTTCGTTTTCAAAACGATAACTTTTCGCTTTGAAAAATCGTACGACCCTCTTTCTTGAAGGGGTTGATAATCAAATTCCCAACATCCTTAAAAATGGCCCATTTGTGTATGTCACCTTCATGGAGATCCTGATGAAAATGATAAAGTAGTCGATCTAGTAAGGCAAATCATCAAAACTTTAGATCAATGGACAAACGATGATAAAAGGCAAATTGCTATAGACACTAAAGCTAGAATTATCATTGCTATGTCACTACCAGATTATGTTTATAATTCTATCATAAATCTCTACACTACCAAGGATATGTGTTGATCCTCTCTCTCTCAGTGATTTAATGATAGTTCCTTTTACCTTATACGAATTATTTATGTTTCTGTCTTTCAGTTCCAGCGATCATCACTAAGTCTGTTCAGTGATCGTTGAGAACATGTAATGTAAATTTATCAGCAACAACGATACTTCAAGAAGACAAAACTCACACCAAAGAACCTTCAGCGAAAGTTGAAGACTGAAACCGAAGATTAGAGACTGGTGAGTACGTGATTTGAAGCGGTATACAGTGATTACAACCTGGTCTATATATGTGTGAAGACTGCCCAAGCCTCAACCAATACTGAAGAGACCTTCAGGTTATTTCAGTATTCAGCGATCAACAGAAGCTTGTTGAACACGATTGTTTTTGTCTTGTCCATTCACACACAAAGGACAAACCCATATTCTTTCTAGAGTAGAGTATGGTATGGAGCCAATTAGTTGACTCTACTACCCACCAACTTTATGAAAGAATGTTTGCTCATGAATAGGCTTTTGTACTATTCACTACAACAACGGACAAGTCTTTCTCTAAAGACTTGACATGTGTTCAAACCCTAACGTAGTGCATTAAATGTGCATTTACTGCAATGGGTATAAATAGATGTGTTCTATCTCCATGCAGAGATACGAAATACTTACTCTTGAACCCTAACTTATATTCATAAGTAAAAAAACACACATCTAAGAACACAAAAATCGCTTATCTTCAAAAGCAAGTTAGGATCCCTTTTTAGTATTCTAAATAGTTCTTACCCAGAAAGAACTGACTTCCTTCTAAGTCTTTTACAGCAAATCATTTCTCTTTGCTAAGAACTAGTGTGTAACTTAGATTGTTTAGATATGTTATATTTACATTATCTTTCCGCAAACAATCTTGTAAAATCTGTATTGATCATTTTTTATCAATATATATATATATATATATTTTAAATTTGAAAAGTTTACTGTGTTTATATTCATCACCCTCCTTCTACAAACTGTTATACACATCTTGTAGACCCTAACGGACCAACAATATGTGAAACACTCTTATTGTTCTACATGAAGGAACTTCTAAAGTCAAGCAAAGCAAGAAGATCGGTCTCAATGGACAATGTGAACTATTTGTATGAGAAAATTATGAATTACTCACTGTTGTGTATCAAAAGGTTCAATTCTCTTCTAAATGATCTTAAAGTTCATGATACATTTTTTGATATTGTAAATTTATGGATTGTCTTCCCGACTTCTGGAAAATTATAAATGTTTTTGCAAAACCTCCAATGATCTAGACCATAGCCTTTAAATGTTTTATACAGTACTCTGTATAACCATGGGCAAACTAAACTAGTTAGGAAAAATGTATTTCTAGATCCTAAAAGCATAAATATTGCTTTTGTCTCTTCCGACTCCAAGAAGTCTAGATCAGTGTCACATCCTACATATGACACAGATCCTGATGATTCTGAGGATCTTAATGATAATTCCATTACATGTTCTCTGATAAAATGATATCTGATATCAATATGTTTGGTCTTGGAGTGAAGAACATAGTTGTTTGTAATTGCAACGGCACTAGTGCTATCACAATAGATATATATCTTTGAGAGCTGAAGATCATTGTCACTAAGCTGGTTTTTCATCCAAAGGATTTGGGCACAACAGCTTCCAATGACAACATATCCAGCCTCAGCAGTTATGTAGACATTGAGTTTTACTTCTTACTTGTCCACTCACCAACTTTCCACATAGAAGCTGACAGCCTCTAGTGGTTCTTTTCCTATCAATTTTTCAACCTGTAAAATCACTATCCGCATACTCAATTAGGTCGAAACCTGAGTCCTTGGGATACCAAAGGTGCAGATTAGAAGTTCCTTTCAGATATCTTAATATGCCTTTTTACAACAATCAGATAGATTCTTTAACTTCAGATTGATATCATGCACATAAACAAGTATAGTACATAATATCAGGTTGGCTAGATAACAAGTAGAGTACATAATGGTTTTCCTTTATATCGCAGACGAAATTATGGATGTTTTATTGAAAACTCAGGTGTTAAACTAGATAACAGAAATGTTGTTGCATATAACAAATATCTTTTGAAAATATATCATGCACACATTAATGTTGAGTGGTGCAATCAGGCATCTTCTATTAAGTATTTGTTCAAATATATCAACAAGGGTCCGGATAGAGCTACTTTTGCAGTTGTAGAAAGTAGTAATGAAGAAGATAATAATAATTTTGTTGATGAAATAAAGGAATATTATGACTATAGATATGCATCTGCATGTGAAGCTTCATGGCATATATTTGGGTACGATGTTCATTACAGGACTCATTCTGTTTTGAGGCTTCTTTTCCATCTTCGTGGACAACAACAAATTGTTTTTGGAGCTGAAGATGATTATGAAAATGTCATAAATAGACCTTCTGTGGCGTCTTTAATGTTCTTAGCCTGGATGAAGTGTAATGAACTTTATCAAGAAACACGAAAACTTACTTATGTTGAATTCCCTATATAGTTTGTGTGGAAACTGGAAGAGCGACATTGGGATCGAAGGAAAAAAGGCTTTTCAATTGGAAGAATTCATTCAGTTTCTCCTACTCTAAATGAAACATATTATTTAAGAATTCTTTTGGATAAAGTCAAAGGTCCTAAATCATTCGAAGACGCCTACTTGTAGAGATGCATGTTATGCTCTTAGGCTTTGAGATGACGATAAGGAATATGTTGATGCCATTGAAGAAGCAAGTTTAACCGGATTTGGTTTTTATCTATGGTCTTTATTTGCAACCATGTTGATTTTAAATAGTTTGTCTAGACTTGAATTTATTTAGCAAAAAATATGGCAATACTTGGCAGATGAGATTCTTTACGATCAACGAATTGCACTAAAGTCTCCAGGTACGTTAATTATATATTTAAGTATTTATACAATTATTATTTAAATACAAACTAATTTATTGTTTTATTATTTCTTAAATATTATGTTTTTTCTTATATATTTTTTTAGTTATACTTTCTATGTAATGGTTGCTTACATTTACATTATAGATTTCACAAGTTTATCCCTCAATGAAGAACAAGTCAAGAACTTGACATTGTTTGAGATTGAAAAGGTTTTACTTTGAAACAATTCCAGCCAAAAAAATTCACCACTATGCCTTACCCTGATGACGATTTTCTTAAGTCTTCAAACAATCGTTTGATTACGGAGGAGCTATATTACGACATAGCTAATCTACGGAATGAGTTCCATCAACTTCTAGGTGCTTTAAAAACGAGCAATGAGGTGTTTATCACGATATCCTTAGAGCGGTTCAAAATAACCAAGGAGATGTATTTTTTGTATATGGTTATGGCGGAACATGTAAAACATTTCTAGAGGAGAAATTGTTAACGTTGCTTCGAGTGATATTACTTCTTACAGGAGGTAGGACAACACTCTCTCTCTTTAAATTCCTCTAGTTCTTAATGAAGATTGTCTTTGTTACATAAAGTCAGACAGTGATGTTGCTAAGTTACTAAAGAAGACTACGTTGATTATATGGGATGAAGCACCAATGGTTCATAGGCATACATTTGACGCATTAGATAGAAGTATTAACGATATTTTTGGTAGTCGAGGCATTAGTGACTCAGAAATGCTTTTTTGGTAGCAAAAGTAGTTGTTTTTTAAGGAGATTTCAGACAAATTCTGCCGATTATTCCCAACGCAAGTAGACAAGACATTGTTAATGCGTCGTTAAGTTCATCTTACATTTGGAAAAAATACAAAGTCCTAAGGTTAACTAAAAACATGAGGTTAACTATTGACAGTCAAGCTTCTGAAATCGAACAGACAAGGGTTTTTGCAAACTGGCTTTTGGATTTAGGAGAAGGCAAGGTTGGTAGTGTGAATGATGGTGAGTCAATTATTGATATACCTGATGATCTTCTCATTATCGATTCAACGGATCCTACATCTACATTAATTGAATTTGTCAATCCTTCGATTCTTGTAAATATCAAGAATTCATCCTACTTTCAGGAAAGAGCAATACTTGCACCAAAGCATGAAGTCATTCAAGAAATAAACGAACGTTTGTTATCATTGTTTCCAGGAGATGAAAAGGAGTACCTAAGTTCATATAGCTTACGTGAATCAGAGCAGCAACTTCACGACCAGTTTGATAGAACTTTGTACTCACCTCATGTCTAAAATGGTCTTAAATTATCGGGTTTGTCAAACCATAAGATATTACTAAAATTCGGTGTTCGAGTTATGTTGCTAAGGAATATTGATCAGAAATCTGGGTTATATAATGGAACTAGACTACGGGTGTTATCTTTGGGAAATCGAGTTATAGAAGCAGAGATCATATCTGGAAGCAATATTGGAAGCCAGACATTTATTCCAAGAATGTCTTTGACACCTACAGACAAAAAGATTTCATTCAAGTTTCAAAGAAGACAGTTTTCAATTGTTGTAAGTTATGCCATGACCATAAATAAAAGTCAGGGACAGTCATTATTGAAGGTTGGTTTGTTTATGATACAACTGGTCTTCACCCATGGTTAGTTGTATGTTGCTTTATATAGAGTAAAAAGTAAGCAAGGTTTAAAAATATTAATTATAGATGATATGGTATAATTAGCAATAGAACAAAGAATGTTGTATAGAAATAAGTATTTGGTAATTTATGATACGTGGTTCTTATTTTATTTATATAAAAATATGTATTTTTCCATAGTTTCATTTATAAATTTTATTTTACAAATTCTTGATACTTATTCATATTTTTATTATTTTTTTACAAATCTTAAAAACAATTCTAAAGGAAAAAAAGCTTGGAAAAGTAGCATCGAACTTTCGATTATCATTTATATTTGTAACATAAGTTTTCTAAAATGATTTAATTTTTTCAAATTACCTCGTGTAATACACGGGCTCGAACCTAGTGTGTGTGTGCATGCGTGTGTGCGGGCGTACGTGTGCGTGCATGCGTGTGTGCATGCGTGTGTGTGTGTGGGGAAAACAAATCAAATGTAACCTTTTCAAAAGTTGCAACTAATACAACCCAATGAAATCTAATCCTAGTCGTTAATCATCTCCTTTTTAAGAAGTAATTTCGTTTTTAATTTTTAAATCTTTGGGTTTTTGTTTCTTTAATTAAAAAATAAAATCCATTAATTTTGAGAAACGGTTTTGTTGTTGTTATCAATTAATAATTTTTTGTATTTTTGGCACGGTTTGCATGACGATTAAGCATAATTGTCTTTCATTATATTCATGAAAAAACCTTAAAAAAACTAAAGCATATAACCATTCATCTAGACGTTATGTATATATACATATAAGCAATTGAAGCTATTTTTTGGTTTATATGTATGTGTGCATGTTATGCAGATGTGCATACCGGACAACTTGCTTACAAATTACCAATATGCACATTTGCAACATCCAGATGAACGATTATTAGAGTTTTCTTCAGTTTTTTATTTTTTTTGTGGGACTATATATATATAGAGTTTCATTCAAGAGAGAACTGTTTAGTTTGTGATAACTGTTAGATTCAATCTCAACCACAAATCAGTGGATAAATTAGGAAACTAATATTTTTGGTAATATGACTTAAATATTTAATCAAGGGGCATTTTAGGTATTAATTTTTTTATCTCTCCTGTGTCTCTCTCTCCTGCTTCCGGCTTTCAGTAAACCTTATTTCGGCGAACATCATGTGATACCCAAAATACATACAATGTGATATCCAAAACACACCAAGTAAACTTCGAGACCACTATGATACCAATAGTGGTACCATGGTGATACCAATTGTAGTGCCACCATGATACCTACGTTGTGTGTGTGTGTATTTTAAAATTCTTCTCTCTCCAGTGAACCATATTCTGGCAAACACCAAATAAACTTAAGATAGTGATACCTAAAAACATCTGACACTGTTAAAAAAAATATATATACAAACGAATGTAATACTACTGTGATACATACCATGAGCAATGTGATACCCAAAATACTTACAAGATACATTATGATACACACTGTGACATATGTGATATTTTAGCATGTGATCAAATCTTCAATCAAGAACATAGCATAACCCACAAACTTAACAAAAAATTGTTAGAATTTTGCAAAACAAGAGTCTAAAAGATCTATTGTTGTCTAAAATACAAAAGAAAGTAAGAGGTAGACAAGATATGTTTACATCATGAACAACAAAAAACAACCATCGTTTGCTATGGCGGAGCTCAACAATATAATGAGTGAACCACCTAACAACCACATGCGCCACCATCGACGGTGGTGGGCGCTTAAACAGTTGTAGTCTTGGAGAAAACCTCACTACCACACAGTATCAGACCTCCTTCTACTAATCTTCACATCAGAAACCAAATATCGTTGCGAAATCTTGAAATAAATGCCTCCAGTTTCTCATTCAACTCCTCATTCGACAACATCGTCGACGTGATCGATGGTGGCCTTTGAGGGGGAGATCGAAGGGAGTGTCGATGTAGATGGTGTTCGGTAGGGGGGATGGGATCGGACAAGATGACCAGAGGAGGTCATCACTTGTCGGAGGAGGCCACTGGATTTTGGTCCCTGTGTGTCCGTGTGTGTTTGTGTGTATATAATAAAGTAATTAATCTAATTAAGGTAAACTGGAATATTAAACTAATCAATGTAAGTTGAATAATCAACCCAAATTTTTAATTTACCCTTCCATTTTATTTTAAGAAGAATATTATAAATGATTGGCTCACGTTGGATCTCACAGTTACCACAAATTAATTAGTTCTCATTTGATTAGGCCCCTATATATATATATATATATATATATAGAGAGAGAGAGAGAGAGAGAGAGAGAGAAAAAGGTTCATTCGTGAAGTGGCAAATATTTGAGAAATAAAAAAGTAATCCTAATCTTTCATCTAGTCAACATTTGTGACTTTGATCGTAAAGCACCGGATAATTCATTACATAGTATGTGGTAGATAGAGGGATAGTTCCGTAAGTTTTTCAAATAGACGGTAAACAGGTTCATAGGTGTATCTGTTAATTAGTTCACATGTGAACTATTTTACTTACTCATATATGAACTCAGAGGTTCATATATAAATCAATTAATTAGTTCACATGTAAATCACCCGTTCATCCTTGTGTTAACACACTCCGTAATTGCATGTCCTTGTGTTAACACACTCCATAATTGCATTTAAAATCACATATGATTCACATTTAAATTAATCGTTATACTGATCTCTTATTTCAACCATATTCTCGTCTGATTTCCTCTCCATATATATATATATATATATATATATATATATATATTCACGTTGTAACCACATTGTGAGCTATATAGGAGAGATTCAAACTCATCATAGCAGGGATTTGGATTTGATTTGGATTTGGAGGAATTGGAGGGATTTGGATTTGAAATCCATTCTAACCCTGTGTTTGGTTTGCTGGATTGTGAGGATTTGAAATCCATGGATTCCTTCGAAATCCCTTAAACGCTGGATTTGGAAATCCTTTGAAAATACATGGGATTTGAAATCCATTCCCTTACATCGTCTCCATCTTCTCCCACAGCATACATGCTTGCCCTAACTCGTCTCCATCTTCTCCCACAGCTTACATCGTCTCCCTTTGTCTCCGTCTCCGTCTCCGTCGCCCTTCATCTCCCTTCGTCTCCGTCGCCGTCGCCCTTCGTCGCCGTTGCCCTTCGTCTCCGTTGCCGCCTTCGTTGGTGGTCGTCGCTCAACGTCTCCGTCGCCCACCGTCTCCGTCGCCCTTCATCTCCCTTCGTCTCCGTCGCCGTCGCCCTTCGTCTCCGTCGCCGCCTCCGTCGGTGGTCGTCGCTCACCGTCTCCGTCGCCCTTCGTCTCCGTCGCCGTCGCCGCCTCCGTCGGTGGTCATCGCTCACCGTCTCCGTCGCCCACCGTCTCCGTCGCCCACCGCCTTCTCCCATCACTCAACAGGTGAATCCCTTTTCCCCTTTTCGATTTCTGTAGTTCTCGATAATTTGCTTCATTGAGGAATCCTGTACAGACCATAGACAGTTGCTAGCTCTTTTGAGTAAGGAGACCCAATACTACAAATCCTACAAACCAAACAAAGGAATGGATTTCAAATCCAATCCAATCCAAATCCCTCATAGGAATCCAAATACCTCAAAAACATTCCTGCAAACCAAACGCACCCTAAGAACTGCATAACAAATATATTTACGAAAATAACCTTCTAACACATAATTTGACAAATACACGACATTTTTTTTATTAACCTGGATATCCAACCCGCTATGCGAACAGACTAATCTCCTGCTTTGCAGGTAGCCCGAAGTCACCGCATTTGAACCTCTATGGCCATAAGAAGATTTTTATTCCTCCTTGGATTTGAACCTAAAATCTCCAAGCACTTTTGACTTTCGGAGCCCAAGATAAAACCAATCAGACACGACCCTTGTGGTTTAAATACACAACATTATGATATATTTTGAAGATTCTTGTATTAAGATGTAGCATTTGAAAGATTTTGAGACATATTTGTATTAGAAAGCAACATTCTTTCTGTTAGACGTAGGGGCTGTTTGGTAGGAGCTTAATGAGCTGTATAAAAGATATGGCTTATTCGCACAGCCATATCCAGCTGTTCGTATGGGCTCATTCGACCAACCATGGGCTAAATCCCTCAGCTAGGAAAGTGATGTTTCTTGTATTCAGCCCTTTATTAAGCCATTTGTTCCCCTTTTGCCCTTTCCCTCTTTTCCCTTTTCACTTCCATGCCTTTCCGAAGGGGTAGCGACGAGGTTAGAGTCGGGTGGATTTGGGGTGACTGAGAGTCGGCGAGTGGTGGTATTCAGGACGATCGAGAGAGATAGTCGACGAGGGAGGGAGGCGGGAGGGTCGGTTTGTGGGTATGTGTTGTGTTCGGTGTGTGCAACGTAGAGAGAGATCGATGTAAAGGTGAGAGAGGGTTTGTGAGTATGTGTTGTGTTCGGTTTGGGGGGACACCGAATAAGGAGAATCGGGTGGATTTGGGGTGACTGAGAGTCGGCGAGTGGTGGTATTCAGGCCGAACGAGAGAGATAGTCAGCGAGGGAGGGAGGGAGGGAGGGAGGTGGGAGGGTCGGTCTGTGGGTATGTGTTGTGTTCGGTGTGTGCAGCGTAGAGAGAGATCGATGTAAAGGTGAGAGAGGGTTTGTGGGTATGTGTTGTATTCGATTTGGAGGGACACCGAACAAGGAGAATCGAGTGGATTTGGAGACACCGAACTGAACAGAGGGATGTCGGCGAGGGAGGGATGTGAGAGGGTCGATCCGTGGGAAGTCGGCGACAGAGGGAAGTCGGCGAGGGAGGGATGTGAGAGGGTCGGTCCGTGGGAAGTCGGCGACATAAGGACAGAGTCGGCGAGAGATGATTCGGGTTAAAAATGTCATTTTTCACATTCAGACGGTTTATTCAGCATGACAACCGAACAACAATTTATAAGTTATCATATAGACAACTTTATCAATACATACATCTTTATCCATACAGGTCTTAATAGAAAACGAACCGAACAGCCCCGTGGTACTTTTTCTTAAATCAATCATAAGATCATGCATTTATAAAAATCTGTCGTAGTATCACTATCACCGTCACCGTCACCAATATTGAACGACCAAAATAGTGATGTCTCACAGCCAAAGTGTTCCAAACCTCAACCCAGCAAAACTTGAATATACGAAAACCGACATAAATTTCAAGGTTAATAAGAGAATTGTGTAAGGAAGTTATCAAAGTCCACTAAGGTTTTATTGTTTTCAATACCGGAACAAKTCCCTCCCTCAGTATGACTTCCCACAATGTATCAAGCTCCCAGCGCCCAGGAAAAGACCAAAAATGGCAGCACTGCCCACAGTTGCTTGTCCAATATATCTGATCTTCAGAAGTCCAGGGACCTGCATTTAAATTTATCAAATATACAATAATAGTATCATATGTATATCAACACAAATAAATCAAATAAGACATAAGTAGGGTGAGGGTCTCAAAAAAGACTCTATGCACCAATCTGATCAGTTATTTAGAAAAATATAGGCTTCTGACACTTTTTTTTATTTATTAAATCTATTTGAATAAATAACCCACCCAGCCACCATGGGTGGCTCGGCTCAGAAAAAAGCTCCACCCTCCATCAATGAGCATTATAAGAAAGTCAAATCTATATTGGCTTGGGATCAAGGTTGGCTAAGAAGCTCAAAACCTTGTACAGGTCCAGTGATCTTAGAAGCGTTAGTGCATTCTTCCAAATCAAAGTCAGAATGTTTAAAATAAACTAAAGCGCTGTTAACCAAACGCTTATGCGGTAAGCACTTGCCAGGTCAAGTAATCCCGGATGTGCATGCCAAAAAATGAAAATCGTACCGGATAAGAGCGATGGCAAGGACCAAGAGTCTTACCCGGTTGACGCTTATCGGGTAAATTGTTGCATGCCATTTTGATGGACTAAAACGATAATGTAAGTGAGAGTGTTGACTCTTACCACGCAAGAGTTCGGGTAAACGGTCCCTAAATTTGAATTCTTAAGAATAACCGTTAGCTACATTAAATTATAACTATATATATATATATGAGTTTTATGAGATTACGTTTTGCTCAATAATGTCAGACTAAAACCGATTACATTCACACGTTTTTGTGTGCGTTGGTCCAAAATGGGTCATGTTTGCCACCTAAAGCGACAAAATAAAGTAATGAAAGTAAAGCTATTATCCTTTTTCAACATTTTCTGCAAACATGCCAACTCCAATTAAAAGTTTCATGTATTTGCTCAAAGTATTGTGAGAAAGACTACTGTTTGATAGGGTGCGATTTTGTTGTCATATTTTAAGACATAAAAGTATTTCATACTGATCCTACTAAACTTAACCAATCAAATAAACTCAGTATATTCCACCAAGACGTGGGATACCTCTACCTCAAAGAGTAGCATGATTGTTTCCGTCAAGACCTCGGCTTGTGAAAGGCGTGAGAAAGAGAGAAAGCCCAAAAAGTATAAAAGAGAAGATTTTGAAAAGGAAACTTGACACAAGAAAGGCAGATATGATACAATATGAAAAGCAAAGCTAGATACGAGTAAGCCGCAATATAACAAATAGAAGCAAATACAATGTTTGAAGACTTGACATCAACATCAGTAAATCAAGACTTCACCATCTTGGCTACATTCAATTTCAATTTGCAGGTTCCAACTTTTATACCATAAATATTAACTCTTATGTTTTACAAAATACAAGATTCTCTAACAATCTAACAGGAAAGATGAATTCAGACCCTCAGTACAAGTGAGACAAGGATGTGTTTGAGAGTATGGTTCTGCAGGGATCCAGTGCCCATGTATGTTTGTGTGTGTATGTGTATATACATACATATGCATGTCTTGACATAGTTACTCTACAAGTCTCATGTATTACTTCATCCAAAACAAGTGGAGGAGGTAACTGTTTATCAAGGCGTTTTATGCACAGCAAAAATGACATTCGCAATTAGATACCATGCTCCTCACCAATTTGTCCAAGTAACACACTAGCTTGAAAAAAAAATTGATACAACAATTACAAATCCCTTCTCAATAAGAAAAGGTGCACATATAAACACCTAGTTTTCAAAACTCCAATAAAAGATCATAAGTAATACATGTGGTACTTCTCATATCATTTTCAACATTTTAGGGTAGTTGACACAATTAAAAACAAGAAAACGTTAAATGAAGCTTTGTATCTTCTCTTTTAACAAGTAACATGCACATAATTTCCTCTTATGAGGCTTGAACAAACCTAAAGGTTACTTGAGCAAAGGTTGCTATTAGGTATTATTGGGGCAAAGGCATCCTGGTTTCTAATGAGTATCTCTTGTCCTCTTATCTAAATAACATGTTACTTCCTTATAGAATTTGAAGGTTGCACTTCAAATAACATGTACTAATATTGGTCTTAACTATTCATTTGAGTAGCTCCTGATATGCTGATAGAGTTCCAAGGAGTTAATTTGAAAATATAATTTTTAATAAATAAATTGTGTATTTATGTTTATATATTTGTAATTCTTTTGTTCATTTTATATCAGTTTCATTTCTACTTCTAAGCTTATGTTTTCACATTTTAGCTCATTGTTTCACTTAAAAGCTTTGTAACTATAAAGCTAGATGGGGGGAGATGGTTGGCATTGTTTTTAGTTTTTCTTAAAGGGTGAATTGCATGAAAAATGCAAACGTACTTTGGCCCAAGTGTAACGTACTTCCACAATCTTTTATTTTGATAACTCAGATGTGACATCTTAAAAATTTAGGTACCAGGCCTATATCTAAGAATGCATGAAAATACAACGTACTATAGTCAGTTTCTTATTTTGTGTAACGTACTTTGGCTAAGGCGTTTGAGATCACATTTGATGTACCAAAATAAAGGTTTTGAAAGTACATTACACATGATAGAAATTGGACCAAAGTACAATGCATTTTAAAGCAATTTGCCCTTTTTAAAAACCTGAAGTTACTCATTTTCTTGACCATAGTTGTTAAAAGAGCGCTTGCGAGGTGCCTAGGCTCCTAAGGCTCAAGGTCTTCGGCTTTTTTAAAGTCGAGGCTAGGCGTATTCACGAGCCTCACTAAGGAGTTATTGAAATACCAAGTCAAACCCCAAATATGGAATAAAGTTTCTCATCTTCTCATCTCCTAGACTTCTTAAAAAAGAGTTATCAAATACATGACACAAGTCAAAACCCTAATATTAAATACCTAGTTATTTATAACTTCAAGCCTCTTTCTCTATAAACACCCAGACCTTAACACTTCTCCCTCATGGCTCACGTTTTAAACCCTTCTCCCTTCTTGCCTTTCTGCCTCTATCAAAGTATTGCTGGTTGCTGCTGGAGTACTTGCTACATATCTGAGTTGTGTATAATTGTGTGTGTATATACTTTTTATAAGATGCGCCTTACATTCCTAAGGCCCGTGCATCACGCCTAGGCACCGGGACCCCTTTGTGCCTGAGTGCGCCGTGAGCTTTTAACAACTTTGTTCTTGACGCCCTCCCACCATGAACTCTCCTTCCTCTCCTTCATGTGACTGAGTGAGGGTTATTTGATAATTCCATTAGACAATCCAAAAGTGAAACTGTTTCCTGAATTTCACCAATACAAAGACCATCATACGGAAGGACATAGATGAAATGGAACTCAACTTTCGACAGCCTAATGTTGATAAGTATAATGAAAGTAGGAAACTGCTAAACTTTAAAACCTAAAGCTTCAAGCAATGATAAGATAGTACCTTATTTCTAATAGCATCATAAGTCCCGTATACAGCACCTGAAATAAATAAAACCATTAGATGAAATAGAAAGCTAAGCTAGAATCTCTCTCACATTTATCAAAAAAAGAGAATTAAAATCACATAGATAAAAAAATCATCCAATATATAACCGAAAAGTCATGGTCTTGCCCTCTTATTGTATCCGCCTATTCTCTAATCTGCAACAAGATGGTAGAAGAGAGGGAGAAGACACAGCAAGCCATGACTGGAATAGGGGTATGAGCAAAAGAATAAAGTAGCTTAATTTAACCCCAAGTCAATTTTAAAACCCTAGTTTCTCACCCACTCCTCATCCCTGCCTCAGCCTCGCCTCACAGCCTCAGGCACCTCAAGACCCGCCTCAGATGGCCTGAGGCGTACAATTCGTTCAGGTCACTTGAGGTGGCGCCTCATGTTCGGAATCCCACCGCCTCGCATCAAACGGTTTTGAAAACCATGATATATATATTAAGTTTTGTATATATATATATATATATATCAAATGACCAGCAATTTTTTCCTGCAGTACCAATACAATAACCACTATATCAAATCATGATCTTGGCTTAAGACCGCGATAATTGGTTAGACCATGATAACACTTTTAGTCTTGCAGCTAAGTTGACATCTATTTGTCTCATTAGAGGCAACAATTTTGACCCACGTACCTAAGAGTAGGTCAATTAGGGTTATATTTTTCTCTCTAAGGTGGTGTTTGGTACACATACAACATTGGACTAGATAGGACAAGAAATAACTGGACAAGACTGAACAGGACAAGTTGTTTGCCTTTGCTTGGTATGACTAGGACTGAAAACGATTGCACAAGTTACCCCTAAAAGTTGTTTGATGATTTTATATACCATATAATAGTTTCAAATTACACAAATCAAGTAGATATTTAAATAATTTAATTCATAAATATTTTAACACAATTTTCATGTAAATAACTACATACATATATAATAGTACCAAATTTGAATGAAGAATTTGATATAATTGATGGTAGTTTGAAAAAACAAGATCCGTACAAAGGAAAACCATGTTTTATTCGGTTTGGGATATGCCTATGAATTGGTGGAGGCACGATGGAGGTTGTTGCAGCGACAGTGGTTGTTGCAGCGACAGTGGCGGTTGCAGCAGCAGTCGAAGGAGTCAAGGGGGTGATGGTGTTGGTAGTTGAGGTAGAGGCGGTAGTGATCGATTTGGTGGTTACCAATCTTGGTGGAATTGAAGGTGGTGATTGTGGCAAAGACGAAAGTGGGCGACAGTGGTAGCGGTGGTGGAGGTAGAGACGATCGTGGTGGGTGGAAGACGGTGACTGTGAGGATGTGAAGGTGGTGAACAATGGTGGTAGCGGCCGCTGATAATGGTAGAGGAGGTAGTTGTGGCCGATGTGATGGAGGTAGGAGGCGACCGACAGTGGTAGTAGTGGCCACGATGGACGGTGGTGGCCATGGCCCATGGTGATTGTGGTGGTGTTGGATGTTGTTGTAGTGGAGAAGGAGGTGGAGGTGGTTGACGGTGGTCGGTTTAGCTGCCGATGGCGACTGATGGTGGTGGTAGGGATGGCCAATGGTGACAATTGAAACAAATACCATATTAAGGTTATGTAGTTCAAAGAAGTCATTGAAAGTGTGTTGATCAAGAAGTTTTCTACATCGCCTAAAAGATGCTCAAATCTGGTCTTGAATCTCTCAACTTCTAAAACCTTTAGGTTGACTTGGAGCACTTATGACTATGCTTTGTTTTATGAGACAGACATGGCAAGAGGACTGTGTTGGTATCTTCGATAGACGATATTATAAATACAAACAATGACAAAAAAATGTGGCTTTAAAATTCTTCATACTAAGAGACTTTAAAACCAAGGACCTAGAAAGTCTTAGCTACTCTTACAGGCATTGACGTGGCAGAATCTCAAAAAGGCCTTTCCATTGGCAAGATAGTATGCTCATCATATCTTTGCTAAGATAGGTAGGTTTGATAGTCCTATTGCTAAGTCACCAATGATTTTGAATATCAAGTGTCAACCCTAGAACGAAGAAATATCCAAGAACGAAGAGCTTTATAAGATCCAAGAAAGGGATCCAAAAATTTAGGTCACTAGGGCCTAGGGTATGAAAAAATCCGAAACCGAATAACTCACCTGGACCAAAACAGTTTTGGGTTATTTGGTATGCAGGTTAAAGGGTCGGTTAATGGAATCAGGTAAGTTTCAGTTTCGATTATTTTATTTTTTTATCATTTTGGTTAATCGAATAGCAAATTATACTATTATTTTATATAATTTTCTTCTAAATGAACTGGTTTAAGCATATAGAAAATTTAACATTAGGTGAATTGATTTATAGAACAAGCCCATCAACAAATATAAATTGAAAAAAATACAGAACTCAAAACAAGCCCTAAATCTAAAACCTACAAAAAAAATCCCCAAATCAAAGTAATATGAAAATAAAAAAGCATCGATCCAAAGCAACTAGAATATATAACATATAACAACAAGAAGTCTGAGCATTAACTGGTAGAAGCCAAAGATAAAAGAGCTAAGAGTTAGAGGCTTAGAGCTAGATCAGAAGATGTAGAACTCAAACAACCAACCTAAAATCGATTTACGAGGGGAACAGCGGTCAAGCAAGGGAGTGGGGTTTCGTCAAAACGGACTAGATCATTGGGGTGAACCGTCGTAAGTGACCAGCTTGAATCGTGGTAAGTGACTTGGGGGAACTGGAGACATAAAGTGTAAAAAAATTACCTATATCGTTTAAGAAACTGGACTTTGGATAGGGGCCTTTCCCCCCACCTTCTATACTATAAGTCAGCCTGCGCAAGAAGGTGTTGGGAAATAGCAAGGAAACTAAATTATATCACGATCAAGAGACCAAAAAAATGCACATTGCATTTCAATGGGTGTGATAAGAATGCAGTTCTACAAATTTTAAGATACATTAAAGGTGCTCGTAGAAAGAGTACTCTTTACACCATCAACAACACACTCAAGTCACGAGGTATTAGGATGCTAGTAATGACACATGTTCTTATAATATAAGCTCTACCAAAGGATATTCTGTTTCTCTAACAGGAATCATGTTATAATAGACAAGCAAGATATGGTTTCATTGTCAAGTGTGAAGTCCAAAAATTGAGTCATGGCTTCGGTTGCTTGTTATTTGACACAAACACCACATGTTTGATTCAAGAATTAAGGGATTTCACAACCAAGTTAATGGAGATATGTTGTAATATAAGTTCAAGACACATAAGAGCCCTAACCATATTTCAACTTGTAATCAATCCATATAGACTGACTATTATATTATAGTAAAAAGGCACTTAGAACGAGTACATGTTCGAGCATCAAAGGCTACCTTTCACATAATCGGAAACCAAACCTTTTAAATGAACACCAAAAAGTATATTGAGGTAGATTGTCACTTTGTTTGCGAGAAGGTAGTTGGCACTCCTTGGGAACAACCTACTATTTAGAGCATTAGAGACTACCTTTCACATAATTAGAAACCAAATCTTTTAAATAAACATAAAAAAACATATTGAGGTAGATTATCACTTTGTTTGCAAGAAGGTAAATTGGCACTCCTTGGGAACAACCGACTATTAAGCTGGTTTGGTTCCACTTAGAAGATCACATTTAGGCATGTTTATGATGGATATTGACATATATGATCCAACTAAAGGAACACGCCCCAGGTAATAACCCCCAAGGGCATCCTCAAAGCATCCAACACAAGTACCAGGAGAACCCAGGTTTAAATCCAAGGAGGAATAAAAATCCCCTTTTGGCCACGGAGGTCCAAATGCGATGACTCCGGGCTATTTGCAAAGCAGGTGGTCGCCCTGGGATTAGTCGGAGCGTATAGCGGGTTGGATATCCAGGTTAATCAAAAAAAAAAAAAAAAGCATCCACACAAGCATGAAGCAAGGGGTAGACAACTTCCTAAACAAAAAGGTTACTTGATTTAGGAGATACAATTTTCTATGAACAAAATCATTAACAATGCCTGAAAAGAGAACAAAAGTACCTAAGAACGATTTTTTTTTAGTGTCTGAAAGGATAGAATGTATTAACTTTATGCACTAGAATTTATCACACAATTGACACAAACCTATTAACAAATTGAGAAAAAAAATACAAAAATTATGCAGCTTACAGGCCAAATAAATACGCTTCTAACACCACATAAAGCATCTGTAGGTAGACAAGATAATAAATTATTAGGAAAAAAGTTGAAGAGTTCTTAAACATAATTTTATGTATCAGGCCTTCAAACAGTAAAGTAAACTAAAACCTATTCAAACCCATTAGGCAGTAGATGATAAGAGAGAACAAACAAGATAAGATTAATGTGTTCGAGTTTGACTGATTAAGACGATAGAAGATGGGAAACGATTAGGGTTTAGAAGGAAGGGGGTTTGAAAAGTAAACATTACCAACAGCCCCTCCAACGGCACCACCTACGGCGACTCCGGCGGTTACTCTGGCCAGACAGCTATCCCTTGCCATCTCTCTCTCTCCCCCTCTCTCTCGATTAATTTGTGAAGCTGTGAAGACTGGGAAGAAGCTTTAGGTTTAATTTTCTCAGACACTCGCACAAACGACGGGGAGACTATATAAACCAGGCGTCAGGGCTATGTTTGGCAAATTAAAACACCGAAAAGTAAAAAAAAAAAACTCAATAAATTTTATTGTTTGTAATAATTAAGTTTTTGATAATTTTTTGGAACAAATAAATTCATGTATAATCTATAATCTATTACATAAGTCATTAGACTTTTTGGAACTTGTTAAATAGATCCTTACCCTTTGAAAATGTAACTTGTAACCTGTAACCTAAATAGAAGGTAAACCTCAAATTTAAATAAATAAATAAAACCTAATAATATCATGACTCCTCGTCTCCCTCTCGTCTCTACATCACCATCTCCTTGTCGTCTCCACGTCACCTTCTCCTTGTTGTCTCCACACCACTGTTGCTGCTTAACGCCCCTACGCCACCGTCTCCCTCTCGCCGGTCGCTGGCGCACCATCCCCGTCGTTGCCGCACCACCCCTATGTCGCTCGTCGCTACCGCACCCAACCCTGCCTCCGCTCGTCGCCATACACCACCATCCCATCGCCGGTCGTTGTTGTTGCACCATCCATATCGCCGGTCCCGCTACAGTTTGATCTAATCAGGTTTGTTCCAGCATTGTTCATCATATTATTACATTTTAATATGCAACTTACATATCTACAATATCAAAGATGAATCCTATCGATTATTATAAATTTGTTCAGATTGAGGATGAGTTTTATCATGAGATATGAACATGTCGATTATTATAAATTTGTCCAATTGCTTTACTACAAGATATGAATCACTCGATCTTCTAGCATAAATGGATCGTTGTTAATGTGATTGTTTATCTGGTAAAAGAACACTAAAAAACTCACTGTTGTCATCCTCCATTTTCATCAACAATGCTTCCTTAAACCATACAAGAATAGTTACTCCTAAACGTTGAAGATAGACCATTATTCATATTTTAGGAACCTAGGATTCATTTTCTATACCATCAACGTGTTTGTATCTTTTCAGGTGACTTTAACTTGGACTGTTGCTGAGTTGATAGAGATTTGATATATGTTGGTGTTTTTTTATCTTATTACAAGTTTTACCATCTTCTTGTAAGCTTTTAGAAAAGGCCATAAAAACCAGACCAAACCAACCAGTATATCTTATTGCTTCTAACATGTACATATGTATGTAGTAGTATTCCATGATCTCCATCTACCTGTGTGTATCAGCCAACATACTGACAATACTGTTTTATCCAGCTGGGAAATACAGATTAGTTTGGCAATGTTCAATGTCAAATCCAGGTGGTGGATGATGTGAGGTTGTATACTGAATCTACACCAAACAAGTCCAAATATTATCCAATATTTACCATCTACTATGGATGGAACAAATTTTCAAGCATCCTAGTCCATTGTGCTAAATTGACGGTCCTAGACTCTAAAATACTAACTTATACAAAATCACCAACACGTTACATAAACTGGACGTTTATACTCACCAACAAGGACCTAGAGTACCAGTAAGCTCTCATAAAATTCTAACCGAACACCAAAAAATGTGTCTCGATGACGATCACAAACTGCATTATGTAAAATAACATGAAGTCTTTAGCACCGACTAAGGTACTAAACTGGTACTCTACACCTTACAGTCGGATAAGAAAGAACGACAAATAGTGAATTAGTTAAAGAAGTCACTAGGCATAACATTTCCAGGTGCAAGTCTTTGTAAGCATAAATCCAACTGCAGTGCTAGAAACTACTTTAGGTATAGAAAAGATTGATTACAATCAAATATCTACTTATACACAATTTCAAAATGCCCAACAGCTAAAGGCCTATTACACAATAAGATAATACATAAATACATACATGCATATATTTATATATGACAACAAAGATCGTTAACAGACATCATTGGCTCCAAGAAACATCAATCTAAAAGCAAATGATACTTGTACATCAAACTGAGTGCTAGATACAAAGCGATACATGGGCAGCATATGAAGAAAATGAAGAAAACTAAATTAAATGAAAGAAACAAAAGGGAGTTAAGTCTCATAATATAATAAGCAATGGGAACATTGACAGTATAAGGCATGAATGAGTTGCTCAAAATCATGTTATTTTAAACTAAGCAGGCGTCAAATTGGGAAATAAGCTAGTCACTTATACACTGAACTTTCTTATTTTTATTAGTCTGAATCATTTAACCATGTCTGAATCAAAAAAATTTAAAGATAAAATACCAAAACAAATTACTTGGTCTTGTTTGATTTGTGGATTAAATAGATCGGATTCTCGTGGTTAAGGGATTCCAAGTACTATCTTAAGATCTGGTTAAAACCCGACCCAAAAAGTGGCTACTTTATTAAATCTGATGTTTAAAGTTTTTATTAACATCGCTTGTCTCACGTATCTTAATATATTTCAATCCCTTTTGTCCATTTGTTTCTTTCTTTTTTCGTGTTTTCTAATTAAGAGTGTCAATTCTGTTTACTTTCTTATCTGTGTGATAAACTTGAAAATCTTGATATCGAGATTGAATCTGGTTTATATTTATCTTTTTCTTTTAGTCATTTTTAGAAACTAATTGTTGACTGGTGACGCACAACAAACATTAGGGTTGAGTTGAACTGCTTAAATTTATACTATTGGTTCATAATTATTTGATTTTATGATAAGTTTTGTTTTCATTGATAAGTTCATAATTATGATAAGTTTTGTTTTCATTGATGAATCGTGATGAAATCCTTATTCTTGTTTACAAAATGATATCTGATTGCGATGGTAATTATAGTGATGATCCAAGTTATGAAATAAACGATAATTCAAGTGAACATATATCAGATTCTTTATCTTTAGACCTTGAAGATGAGGATGATATAATCAACTTAAATTAAATAGTTGATGATCAGTTTCTAGATAAGCTTTGTATTATAAACACGATTGACAATATTGAGTTTAATATGGATGAAGATGATGATAATGTTGGAGATCATGCTATACAAAAAGGTGTTCAATACCCAATACATGATCCTAACATTCCTTGGAAGCTGATGAAGCCCAGACTTGGTGAGAGGTATGAGAATCCTAGTCAATTAGTGTTTGACTAACTATACGGTTGCAAATAGCTACCAACTAGAATATGTGAAAAATGATTCAGAAAGACTACTTGTTACATGTGGAAAAGGTAAAAAAGATCACACATGTCCTTTTAGATTATGGGCATCTTGGATGCAAGAAGAAAAATCGTTTCAAATTAAAAGCATTAACTGTAAGCACATATGTAGTAGAGACTATAGTTTTGGATCCCTAGTGACACCAAATTGGATTGCAAAGCATTATGTTAGAGAACTCATTCATAAAAATCAAGGATATGCAAGATGATATTTTGAAAAAGTTTATGGTCAAAGTTAGCAAGGGCCAATGCATCCGGGCCGAATCCAGGCCACTTCTTGAAATTGAAGGTTCTTTAACAGAAGACTATGGAAAACTTTGGGATTATGAACATGAAATTAGGAGAGCCAATCCAGGATCTACAGTTAAGATTGACGTAAATTTAATGGCAGATGGAAACAATGAATTTAGGACATTTTATGTATGCCTCAAAGCATTAAGAGATGGGTGGATTAGTGGATGTAGGAAGGTTATAGGACTAAATGGTTGTTTTTTGAAGGGGGTGTGCAAAGGAGAGTTAATATCGGCTATTGGTCAAGATGAAAATAATAAGATCTACCTTATGTACATTCAAACTATGCTTGTTATACTAATATCAAGTGTTATTATTTGTTTAACCACTTACAATGTGGAATGCTTATGTAGCTTGGGCTGTAGTAGATGTGGAGAACAAAGAGAATTGGAAGTGGTTCATTGAACTATTAATAGAAGATATTGGTGATATCGAAGGAGAAGGGCTTACCATCATGTCTGATCAACACAAGGTATGAACGTTGTTAACATTAACTAGTGCATCACCCATTTTGACCACCTAACACTAAAAAATTCATAACTTTTTTCTTGGACCTCCATTTTCGATGAGGTTTTCACATACGCATTCATAACAAGTTAATGTATAACATCCAATAAAACTATTCCAGAAAAGACCTCCCAATAAAAGCAGTTTTACATATTTGTAGGTGTTATGCTTTCCTTTGCAATATTGTTAATTTTGATTTTGAGCACGGAATCCCGTAAAACTTTTTCGAAACCTCCAACAACTCCTAACAGGTCCAAAAATTAGTTCCAAAGCATAGCATCCATCAAACACCTTCCATTTGAGTGTTTTACGTATAGTTTACCAAAGTAGCAACATAATTTGTAAAACTTGCATAAAATGCAATCTCGTGACTTTTTTGACTTCCGTCACTTCTAACACTTCATATTAACTTATTCAAAGGTATTACAACCTTTACATCACCATTTATATCATCCGTTTTAGTTTTGGGTAGATTTTTCCCATTTAGGCACTCTAGTTACTTTCCCGATTTCCTATTTATGCATGCTACTTACCTCATACATCTCAATCTAACTATGCTTTCCTTTGCAATTTTATGCAATAGGGGCATTGTTGAAGCTGTAAAAGATTTGGCACCGTATGTAGAGCATTGACAATGTGCAAGACACATATATGCTAATTTTCACTAAAGGTTTAATGGTGTTGAGTATAGAAACATTTTTTGGGCAGCAGCTACATCCACTTTTGAGGCAGATTTCATGTCACACATGGAAAAGTTTAAGATACAAAACCTTGATGCATATAATCACTTGATTGAAAGGGACCCCAATGCATGGTGTAGGGTATTTTTTCCAACCTGGTAGAACTTGTGAAGCTGTAGAAAATGGAATTTGCGAGTCATTTAACTTAATAATTGTTGATGCAAGAAGAAAAACCATAATCACAATGTTAGAGAAGATAATGATATTTGTTATGGAGAGACATTATAGAATGTTAAGAAAAGCACAAGAATGAGAATCAGTTGTTTGTCCAACCATAAGGAAAAAGTTAAAGAAATGGGGAGGTATCACAT